CAACTCATTGGCGCGTCATGTTACAAAATGGAGCAAAGAAGTTGGTCGGGTGGGTTGGTGATCCATTAAACCAGGTTCAGGTGGCCATGTATGCAGACGCAGCTTCGTTCCACTTCGGGTTGTCAAGTGAACTTGCGCGGTAAGAACGCTCGCTTTCCGTTGGTGGGAAACAGCAAGAGGCAATCTTGCGTGAGTCGCTCTACTCCAGAGGTGGAAATTGTGGCAGCTGAAACAACGCTGCGTAACCACGGATTATATGTGCTGTGTTCTGGGAGGGGGCGGTTTGACATCGACCCAATGTCATATTGTAGGATGATAATCAGTCCCTGATTGCTGTGACAAGGACCGGTAAAATGCAATGCGGCATTTGGAACGGACCCATGGCATTAGCGTTGCCTGGCTCCATGAAATGTTCAAACGCGAAGAGTACGCTCTGGTTTACCAGTTGTCATCTAAAATGGCAGCCGACGTGTACACAAAGGCTTTTCATGATCCTATTCGGTGGAAGCACGCGTGCATGTTGGTCAACATCTTTGATCAGGGTGATCTGGACGATCCGGCCGTTGACGCCGCCTCATGACGCCGAGTCTGGCCAACGTCAGGCATATGGGCAGATGGTGGATGATGTTCCGGCGTTTCCATACACCCAAACTCCCATTTTGCCAAAAGAGGTGTACAAGCCAGGCGTGACGTCCAAGGTTGGTTTGCACGAACACGAGGGTTCACCCGTTTTCGTTGTTGCCAAAATGCCCAGGCACAAGAAACTCAGGCCCGGAAAGGAGGACGATGGCGTGCGTTGGTTGCGTACAGCACGGGTGCTTCGGAACGGCAAGTGGGAACTTGAGTCTCAGAAGGCCGGTCAGGCGACAGCCAATGACACAGCCCAGGCGACCAAACATGCCACGGTTCAGGAACCAGGCGACACCACCTTCAAAAAGCGGGAGTCATTGAAATTTGACAAATGGGTGTACAAGGAGGCTGAAGGAACCTTGGTGAGGTATCATCACTGCCCACGCAGAAAGTTGTTCCAACCCACCGGCGCAGCCCATTGTCCTGTTGATTTCGACCGGATCGTTCAAGAGATGTTCAGTTCGTGGGGGGTGTGTCCGAATGCATCACTGACGCGTGGCGGGACCCAAATGATGGCACCCGTGAACTTCCAACACAGTGGACCGGCAAGACCGAATCCGGATTTTGCCAAAAGCTGGGGGGCCACGCCGTCGGTTAGCAGCAACGCCGCCGATACACCGGAGCATTGGTTACACGCCGTCCTGAAGGATACGCAGCCTCACCCAGGCTGGCTGTCACTTGTGACGGTCCGCAATCGGAAATGGCTGACGGTGCTCAAGGCAATAACTCCCCTCGTCCATGGGGGGAGGCCTACCCATTTCGAACGGCTCAAGACTGACAAAAAGCAAATGGCGAATTTACCACACACACACACACAAAAGAACGACATTTTGCGCGACGCATGGTGCGCATGCTGTCATGGAACCACAAAAGGAACGATGTCGCAAACACTGTGGCACAGGTCGGGTTTCTCAGGCAAAACTAAGAAAGCAACGAAGTTTTCCGTACCCGGACCTATTGGGTCGTGTTTCACGAACCACTGAGGGAACGCCCCAGGTTGGTTCTAGCAAGAAACACTTGGCGTGAAAGGGGCCAGGAAAACCAGGTCTCAAAGCCCTCAGGTCACAAGCAACAAAGACACCATCTCCTTCGCAGGTCCATGCGCTGGGGGGTCGGCTTGGAACCGACTCAATGAGCGCAAAGGAGGAGAGACGCTGCGCAAGATCGAGCAGAAGAAGGCCATTTTCTGGAAACTCTGCGGGGCCTTATTGGAGCTACCAACTGGTTGCGCCTATTGGAACGACAAACGCATGCTCGACCTCATGTCAGGAACCGATTGCAAGCATTTCCACGTCCACGGACACATGTACAAGGGCAGGGCGATCAAAAAACCCTGGTCGTTTCTTTCGTGGAACCTTGGGAAGCCAAAAGGGCCTCGAGCTAAAATGTGATGGCTCTCACGAACATGCCCCTTGCGCAGGACATGAAAATAATAAGGGGATTGAAGTCTGTTCTCCGTCTCTCTGCCGTCGGCTTGTTGAGTACTGCATGCATGGGTTCAAGACTTGTCGCCGTTTCGAAGGCATTTGTGAAGCGATTTGCCAATCGTCACATGTTGACTGGTTCAAGAATCACATTATCAATCCCATCATCAAGCTAGCGTTGTGTGCCATCAGGGTTTCAGTCTCACATTGGCAACTGCGGTGCTTTGCTTTCCAATGATTTTGAACGAGCCTGGGAGCGGGCGTTTAACGGCCTCGTTTTTCAGGTAAGTTCGAAATACGATCGTGTGAAGGAGGTAACGCTTGACGGACCTCCGGATCCGATCCGATATCTTTTCAAGGGGGAACCGCTTGACGGACCTCCGGATCCGGTCGAATCTCCACCTTTCTTTGGTGGAAAGAATTCTTGCATTTCCGCCATGTATGTGCCACTTCCCAGCCGTCGAAGGACATTGGAGGCATCTGGCCTCTGGATGCTTCGGCCGTCTTTACAAGGTATTGTGGGACCTTCATCGAGGGCTACAAGGACCGAGCTCAGACCATGCCGCGACGGTTCGCAAGAATCGACAGCGACGAAAATGAGCGTAAGGCGATTGCTGCGGGGAGGGTGACTCCGATGGACCTCAGGAACTACAAGGACGCGAGAACTTGGATCACTACTGGTGTACCTTCGTTATTGGTTTGGTCTTGCTTTGCTTGCACCCAGGGCATCTCGGACTAACTTGACCGCCATGGAGACACGAATCCGCAAGGAACCAGCAGCGGTATAGTGGGAAAGGGGGAACCACGCCCGGAACCGACCAAAGGCTGCACCTCAGGCGAAATCCATGAAGGCGGCAACGGAGGCTGCGGACCTGAAGGAATCCTTGACCAGGCTCTCTAACATTGAAGGAGAGCGGGATGACAGATGGCAGTTTCCCAGCATCCCACGGAAAACGAGTACAGAATCGTCAGAACGTATCAGCTCAGGAAGCAGCAGAGGAGGTGGATGTCGATGAGCTCAAGAGGATTGCAAAGGAGGCCGCCGAGAAGGCAAAGAACTGCAACAGGAACGCTTTTTGCACACACGTTCCGAAGTATTTGCCTGCTGATGAATATTTCCGACCTCTTCCCACTACACTTGATCAATGGAAGGCGAGCTGGATCGAGACACGTAATGGACTCAACGACGAGGACCTGGCGTACAATATGACAAACAACGGGGAGCACGTCGACATGAAGGGCGTCCACCTGAGGGGCTATTCTGCCTGGAGCTTTACCCGGTCCTGGTGGAGATGTTTGGAAAGGAGAATCTCTGGAAGAGTGTCAGGGAAGACGTACAAGACTCCCGAGCTGCGAGCTTCAAGAAACAACGCGCTGGACCAGTTGTTTGATGTTTTCCATATCGTGATCGGAACCAGCTTCAACGTGGAAACGCACGCGTTCTTCCAATCAAACCTCGATGGAGTGAAGGGAGCAAGTACATTCCCTTCGACTGGATGTGCGCTGCGATGACAGAGCTACTACCCATGATCTCTTGTTGATGAACTACCACGGGATGGAATTTAGCCCGATTCTTTGGACTCAGCGGGAGAACTACAACAAGCTGAAGGCTCAGGGGCTGACCATTCAGACCCGGATTCCATTGGCCGACGGTGGAGGCTACCATCCAACCCAACTATGGAGAGAAGCAGAAGAAGAAGGGATGAGTCGAACCTGCCGAGCCGAAGGCCTCTCAACGTGGAGAAGGATCCACGTCCCCGAGAGTGTTTAGGCCCTCGTCGGCAGAACGGAAGAAGACGGGCGAACGGTGCTGGCAACCCCGGTCCGTCAGTCCACGCAATGCCGAGCGATCTTCCGGATCATCGGGCAAAGGTAAAGGAAAGGGCGACAAGGGCAAGCGAAAGGGGACAGGCAAAGGTAAACAATCGCGAGCCGGCGTGACGTGTGTGTATGGTTGCATTGGAAGGGGCCCAGGATGAACAATTTAATCCACAATTGCAACGCCTCTGCGCAGGTACCTCAGAATGAGGGACACTGCGTGGGGGGTGTGAATAGACCATGGGCCACCACTGTAAATCAAACACCACACATTGTTACTATAAGGGCAAAAAGATTGGCCTTACGGGAAGAGAGCCGGTTCGAGGATATTCGGACCGTTGCACTCTTCCTGAGGGGGCAATACAGCCTGTGTTGTCGGGGTACCATTCAGTCCCCACGGTTTTTCACATTCATTCCTTCCTTCCTTCCTTCCTTCCTTCCTTCCTTCATGCATTCATTCATCCATCCATTCATCCATCCATCCATTCATCCATTCATTCGTTCGTTCGTTCGTTCGTTCATTCGTTCATCCGTTCATTCGTTCATTCGTTCATGCGTTCATTCGTTCATTCGTTCATTCGTTCGTTCGTTCATTCGTTCATACGTTCATACGTTCATTCGTTCATTCATCCATTCATTCATTCATTCATTCATTCATTCATTCATTCATTCATTCATTCATTCATTCATTCATTCATTCATTCTTTCATTCTCTCATTCTTTCATTCTTTCATTCTTTCATTCTTTCATTCTTTCATTCTTTCATTCTTTCATTTATTCATGCATTCATGCATTCATGCACTCATGCACTCATGCATTCATGCATTCATGCATTCATGCATTCATGCATTCATGCATTCATGCATTCATACATGCATGCATTCTCTCTTTCATTCTTTCATTCTTTCATTCTTCCATTCTTTCATTCTTTCGTTGTTTCTTTCTTCCTTTCATCCTTTCATTCTTTCATTGTTTCATTCTTTCTTTCTTTCTTTCTTTCTTTCTTTCTTTCTTTCTTTCTTTCTTTCGTTTATTTCTTTGTTTGTTTGTTCTTTCTGGAAGTTTGGAGAGCTTGAGGGTTCATTTCCGGGCAGCTTTTGCTGTTGATCTTGCTCCATTCCAGCCCAGGTTCGCGCAGACGCTGCAAAGGCTAAAGCGGCCTTGGAGCAGGGCAGGTTGCGGTTTCGACAGGACTTGGACCATGCGCAGGGCACCTTCAACAGCTTCGAGGGCGGAGTGTCCCAGGCGCTGGCAGCTGCAGAGGAGGGCGCTTTGAGCGCGGAGGGGGACGCCCAAAGGGCCGCTGCAGAGATCCTTGATGACCTTGCAAGAGAAGTCAGCAAGCTGAAGGCAGACCTTGAGGCAGACAGCAAAGAGCTGGCGAAGAGGCTTGCGTCCGCAGAGGCCTGGGAAGCACAGATCTTGCAGAGCATCCATGCCGAAAAGGGGCGTTTCTCGAAGGTGGTTGCGGAGGCCGGCTTGAATTTCGACCGTGCTGTGGAAGAGGCCAAGAGCGAGATTAGCGATGCTGAGAGCAAGGTGGCCGATGCGAAAGCCGAGTCCGCAAAGATTGTGGTGAAGGTGGGTGTGTCTCAAAATGTGGGCTTGGCCAGCATCTCTTGCCCATGATTTGGGTCCAACTCATTTTGAGACAGGTGGAGACGCATCGGTGCTCTCCTGACACTTCAAACCAGGCTGAGAAGGACGCGACCTGGAGAACGCCCAGCAGAAGTTGGACCAAGAGAAGCGGGAAAAGGAGGACAGGGTTGCTCGCTGATAATTCGCCTGACCGAGGAACCCCGCAAAACGGCCAACTTTGTTTGGCTTCCAACTTTCAAGAGGACCAGTTTTGTAGCTGTGGTTGAACCATTTGAGAGCTAATTACCCTGGAGGATGGTCTGCAGAAGCTTCGGGCGGTACACGATGAGAACCTCGACCGGCTGGAAAAAGACCAGGAGCAGGCCAACAACTACCTTGGCAAGTTGAGGAGTTCTTCCGAGGCGCTGGAGAGCATCAAGCTGAACAGTGCCACAATTCAGGAGTTGGGCAAGGCAGAGGCCGAGAAGGAGCATCTCCAGGCGAGCTCTGAGAGGAAGACGGTGAAGCAGACCCAGAAGTTCCAGGTCCAGCGGCGGAAACTTGAGGTGGAGAAGATGCTGTTGGAGCAAGACTTGGAGGCCATCCGACTGATCATTGCAGAGTACATTAAGGACCCGCTGGTGGAAGCAGAAGTGCCTTTGGAAAATGATAGTCAAGCCGTGGTCGCCTTTCTCAGGCGCTTGGGTGATGATATTTTCACCCTGTCAGAGGGCTTCCGGCACCTTTCGGGCGCTGGTCTGGCGTTTAAGGAAGCGATGGCAGTGTGCCGCCGGGACGGGCCGGACCGGATTCGTGAGCTGCAGGGCCTGATTCGTGCGGCTCAGCCGAATGAAGAGCTGGCAAAGGCGGCCCTCGTGGCACTAAAGGCTGCGCGGGACTTGGACGAGGAGTTCGCCCCGCTGCACGGAGTGGCCAGAGACCTGCGGAACTTGACCGTCGCCTTTGCGGACAGCGCCATCCCACGTCAGCGTGGCTTCTCCCTGGTGGGGTTTGTGGAAGTGCTGAACACCGTCAGCGCCCTCCTGGAGCGCCTGCCGCTACCCGAGGAAGGGCGGTGGGACCGCTTGACAGAAGAAGAGGCGGGCGTAGCTTACCAGGATACTGCTCAAGTGTTGGACGCTGTCCAGGGCGCGATTGCGGGCCTGAATGTCTTGACACAGACCCAACCAGGGATCGCCATTCGCGCGGCTTGGGAAGCAGTTGCGAACAAGGCCGTGGAAGCTCTGTGGAACGACACGCTAGATTTGAACGCCTACACCCTGGCTGTGGCCAAGTGGCGGGACGCCATCGCCACCGTGCTTGCTTTGCTGGAGCAAGCGACCCAACTTTGGGAGGACCCTCGGCTGGTGCATGCCCGTCTTGCTGCCTTGAAGGAGGAGACCTTCTCCAACTCCATCCCCGCCCTGTCTCAGATGTTCGGACCCATAAACCCGCCTCTGTTCGCGGAGGCCGAAGTGGAGGCCGCCTCCGTTGGTTGCGGCCCCTGGTGGAGCTTCTGTCAAGTTGGACTCGCGGAGGAAAGGCCCTTCCACCAGATGTCGCAGCTCGAGGTTCTGTTTGACCAGATCCAGAGCATCTTCCCGAGCATGCTGGTCATGCCGGATCTGGAACCTGTTTTGTTTGATGTCTCGGAGTTGCGGGTCAGGGTCAAGGGCTTGGCTGAGCCCATTCGTCGTGCAGCTGCGGCGCGCAGTGTGCAAGACTTCCGGCAGGCGCTGATGGCAGGGGCTGCGCCAGATGCACTGCTCCAACTGCAGACGGTCTTCCAGGAGATGGCAGAGCAGCCGTTGGTGGGGCTGACCCGAGCGGAGACGGAGCTGATCCAGCACGCCGTGGAGCTGGGTGCTGCAACGTTGGAGCGCACACCTTTGGGCGAGGCGCTGGCTGGCCTCAGGCGGATCTTGAAGCTGAACCGCCGAGCCTCCCTCCTGCAGACGCGCATGGCCACCTTCCAACGCCAAGCCAAGGAGCGTGCGGGGCATTGCCAGCACGTCTTGGTGGAGACTTCTTCGGTGGAGGAGTTGCTGATGCACCCGGCTCCAAAGATGACGGAGTTGCCGGTTTTGCAGAAGTACCGCATGGCCGTGCATTTCGTGAATGGCCTCGGACAACTCTGCGGCGCCGAGGGGGCCATGGAATCGCCTAGTAAGGTGTCTGTGATGCCTGGTGAGCTGGACGCACTGGACGCCTTGGACATGGCAGTGACCTCGTTCTTGGAAGCCTTCGACCAGGCGCCGTCTTCAAGGCTGACAGAGGCCTTGAGGACCGTGGCGCAGTCTTTGAGGAGTCGACCCTCGGAGGCTGCGAAGTGGAGGAGCTTCGAGTCCAAGTTGTTGGAGAACAGCGAGGCTGGGAAGGATTGGGTTCAAAGGCAAGACCTTTGGGCGTCAAGTGGCCGCTTTTCAACAGGAATTGTTTGTGGGAAGGCAGAGGGCAAGCGTTGTCACCTCTTCATGTTGATCCGTGCAAAGGTGGCGCGACAGACCAGCCAGCAGGTCGCCTGCTTGTTCGCAGCTGATCTTCGTGGGGTCACCGCCAAGTGCTGCAAAGCGCTGTGCGTGGCGGTCGCTTTGCACACCACCCGCCATGTGGAGGCAGATCCGAAGCACCTGAGGACAGGTCGGCTCCAGGAGTTGCGGGCTGAGGAGGCCGAGGCGGTGAAGAGCATTGGGGAGGCTGCGGGGAAAGTGGAGAGCTTGGAAGCAGCTTTCAACCAGAAGATAGAAGACATCAAAGCTGCGAGCGCCCCAGAACTGGAGCAGATTAGCGCCCGCATCGCCAACCTCGAGCGGCAACTTGCGCCAACTGTGGAGGACATTGCCAGGAAATTTGCGGAGGCAGCTCGTGCCGAGAGCAAGCTGAGTGCGCTGCAAGAGACCGAGCAGCAGCACCTCGATGACATGCGACACGAGGTGGGTTCGGCCGTGGGCTTCCTCCGGGCTAAGCAGGGCCGCCTAGAAGGCTCAGCTTCTGCCACGCACGTGGCAGCCACCGCAGGTTCAGCGGTCTCGTTCGAGGCGGCCATGGATGCTGCCTCGGCGGATATGGACCTGGCTGAGAGGCATGCTGCTGCTGCCGTCAAGATCTACGAGGAGCTGATGCACAGCAACCCCTTGAGCTTTGGGTCCGTGCAGGGCAAGGCGAGCTACTCTCCCGAGGACATCAACTTCTTCCTCAGCGTGCACATGGATCTGCGCCTGAATTTGGACCTCGGCATTTTCGGACATCTCGTGATCGTCCCTTGGCAGTTTAGTCATTGCTCTACTTTTGTCCTCTGTGCCTTCCCCAGAAAACTATCTTCTGTCTCTTTGTGCGTTTTGCACCCACACAGTCGTGAATTCAGCGGCAGTTTTTCACATGTCGCGCAGTGGTTCTTGAGGTCCGCTCCAACTTGCATTTTTCCTGAGTTGGCAGATTGAAGACGTTCACTCCGGAAAAAGGTTGCAATTTCCAAGTCCCAGGCCGGCGTCTCGCTCTCAACGCGGATTGGCGTTGGAGTTTTTCACCAGTCATTTGCTTTGTGGTGCACTCGTCAACCTAGGGACCGCTTGCAGTCTCGTTTGACATCCCCGAGTTCTCGCTGCAGCACATTCTGCACTTGGTGGAGGAAGCCTTCAAGCGCCTTTGGGCTGATTTTAAGAAGGAACTGAAGGAGCTCATCTAGGGCAGGGAGTCATGCCTTCCCGGCGGCAAGATTATGAACTTGTTTATTTGCACACTCGCATTTGTAAAGCTTGTAAAGTCGGCGCAGTGTGTTCCGTGCTCCAGCTGTTAGCTAGCAGGGCGCAGCTTCGAAGCCTAATTAGCAGACTTGTGAGCCAATGCAATGACACAAGTGCTTTGCAGTTTGCGTCGCCTTCACAGCGAGAAGAGCGACATCAAACACATCGCTGAGTAAGTTTACCAACAGCAGCCTTCTTAGCTTAGTTCTACGTCTTCTGCCTATCGATGGTGTCCCAGCAATTTCTCACCAGCGTTGGTGCTTGTCCACGCGCTGACAGCTGTTGCAAAGGATGGGCCCAGCTCTTTGCATTTGCGGCTTTGCGTCCTTACGTGTTTGCTTGTTTCTGTGTGTGTGTGTGTCCGCAAATGAGATCAAACCTTCGTGGCAATTTGGAAGTGCTTATCTTTCAGAGTGACAAGCACGGGTCGCCCGGGGCACAACGAGTTTCATGTAGATCCTCCAAGGCTTGCCTTTGAGAAGGCGACTCGTAGCCTGCGCTGCCAGTGAGAGGCCGCAGCTTTCCTTTCGGCTTGCCGATCTAGCGGCGCGAGCAGATGCAGAGATGTGGCACATCAACGCAGCCTTTACTTAAAGCTCCCATGAGACTTGTGGCCTTGTTGCTTTGCAGAAGGTTCAACATGACTCGAGTTGCCGATCAGCCATTTGCTCCAGGCAACAGAGTCGATTCTTTGCAAAGGCCAAGTGAACTCCTCGCTACCGCAGTTTTGTCACTTTCTATGCATGCACGCCACCAAATCACTTCAAACCTCGGGTGGATCAACTGTCGCGGGGGCACAACGCATACGAGCGCACAGGCGCTGCAAAACATCAGGCGTGAACATTTGCTTGGAATATTGCACGTGACAATCCCAAGCGAGGCTGTTGCTTCATTGGGCATGTTTGCCTAACCGGCCCTCTCGCAGACACGACCATAGCTTCTTTGTCCCGCGTCCGGGTTGCGATGGCTTCTGTCATTGGCAGAAGGAGGGGGAACATCCTGTTCTTGGGCATACCGAACAAGTGCCTTTTTCAGCCCCCATGTCACGGCCCAAATATGATGTCATGCATCCAAACTTTGAAGAGCTGGTGTAATTCATCGCGCTTGTTCTTAGCAAATGATCCCAATGCAACAGCCTGATTCTAAGTCGCGCGAATCACACTCGCCCTCTCAATATTTGAAAAGGTCCCCAATGTGGACAACCACATTTTGCTGCAGAGACACTGGCAAATCACTCACGGCTTCTGCGGTCCCACCCCCCGTCGCTCAAATTCCCCTGTGGACCTTCACAGCGGCAATTTCATTTCAGTGGACCGAAAGCCATGAAAGTGTAAGCAGACATTGAGTGACACATGACTCCCTGACAACTTAGGGCTTGCGTTTCCAGGTTCCACATGATATGGTTTTGCGTGTCCAAACTCCGGGCGGAGACAGACCCAGAAAGAGACCCGAATGGACACCTAGTATTTGTTGGGGTGCCCTTATCCTGAGAAACTCCCTTAATGCTTTGTTTCGTTTCAAGGATGGGGGGCCTGCCTTGGGGCAGCCATCTTGGAAGGGCGCTCCACATGCACGTCATGTTGATTGTTAAAGTGAGGGAGGCTTGGACAATTAATGGTCCAATGTCGTTTTTTCTTTGCCAACTAAAACAGCTCATGTTCTGTTCTATGGGGGTGTGTTTGACATCCCATGTCATATGACTCAGAGCATTCGAATTTCCCGCTCTCAAGATGTTCGGTGCCCCATCAGGTCCCAAGTCATGCAGAGAACACAACGAGTCCCCACTGCTTGTACGTTTTTGCGTTGTTATCACCGGGTCCTTCATGTGGGAGCCCCTTTTGGAAGGTTTCCAAATGGGCGCCAAACAGATTTCAGCGATCTTTTGCTTGGCACCCCGTCCAATTTCTAGCCAACCTCCTCCCCCTCCATGCCATTCCCCCCCCCCCTCCGCCCCGGTACCTGCAGGACCGCCTTGACGGCCGGCGCTGTGGGCCGCTGGCCCTAGTGAAAATTGAGATTCGGGGCTCGACCTTGGCCGTTGTTTTTCTTGCTTCGGAGCTGGGTTTTGGAGGTATGGAGACATGTATCACTTCTATACGGGGTTGTGGGCTACAGTGGACTACATAGCCCCGTTCTATGAGGGGTATTAACTAAGAACCCAAGCCTCAACATGCCTTGAACCAAGGCACACTCAGCATGTGTCTGCAGACTAAAATCGAAACAACCTAAGCTCCGAATCATGGTGGCACGTATCTTTTGCCCAGAATAATTACGGTCGAAGAGCCCTGTTGCTTATTGATGTACCTTGATCTGAACAGATGTTCCTCAGGTTGTTTGTTCGTTGACCTTTGGAAGATCAGAAGGTACCCTCGAAGCGTGCGTGTGTGCGTGTGCACCACGAAGTCGGCCATGGTGGCCATGGTCAAAAGCAGCCCGGAGCATGTCTTTGGATTTGGAGGTTGTCGGTCCCTTGTTTCCTGCGCAACATGACTCCAAGAGGGGGGACCAACACAACAGCAGAGTCCAATGATCATTTCGGATCAATACCTCCCACAGATTAATCGAGAGTGGTCCACCCTTTAGTGGGATTTGGTCAACTGTGAGGGAAACCTTGTCATCTATACAGTCATCCGGATCAATCCGAATTGGTGGCTATTGGGAAATTAGGATTCGCCTTTTTCTCTCTAGATTCATTGGCCTGTTTGTCAATCCGGGACTTCCACCAGACTCTTGGACGTGAATCCCCATTTAAGATCCGCCCTATGGGCAGGGTGTCTAGCCGAAGTTCTTGGTTCAACTTGAGGCGTTTTTCCAGCCCCACGGACACCTCCAAGGCGAGAGGTGTTTGGGGCCACAGGAGTCTCTTAGTGACACGGACATCATTTTTACTGCGCGCATGTTGAACGCCGCAGTGGAGCAGAACCGCTTCCTATGTTTGAGTTTGTCACTGCCCCACGCGCGGAGACCGCCCGCACGGGATCTCTACAACTCTCAGGAGCCAAGTTTTCAGGACAGCCCCAGATATCTAGCCACTCTAAGCAGGCAAAGGCTCTGAGTTTTTTTTTTACATAGCTTTCAGCTTTCATGTCATCTTTTTCGGATTGGAAAGGACCCATTTAGTTCCTGCGAATCAAAAGGAAGAGTTTTGCATCAAGACCTGACGCAACCAAAAGCAGAAGCCTCTGGACACCGCAGATGCTTACAATTCGCTTAGATTCCTTTGTCATACTTTGGAGTGTTCAGAAGGGTTATGGAGTTTTTTGATTTGAGAAGCTGGAAAGAGGGGGTCCCCTTCAGCTTTCAAATTGATAGCAGGCTGTTGGTTTTCCAGGCAAGAGGGCACAGGTTCCGATCAAAAAACCCGAGAAGCGAAGAACGCCGAGTCTCTCGGAGCCCAAGCTTTCCCGCTCCAAAATCAGACCCCAAAGTCTCACTTACTGGTGCTCGGTGGGGCATGTCGGAACCCCGTATCAGCCATTTGTCTTGTGGTTTCGTTGCTTCGGGAATCACTTAAAACGCTTCATTCCATTTCTCATCCCCTACCGATTTCGCAGCGATGGCAAATCTTGGGCCTGACGCAAAGGGGAAGCGGCAGGTTGGGGGTTGGAATTCCAATCACTGAGGAGTGGCCGCCGGAACCATGGGTACGTGGTGGGGGCGTCTCAGATTCCTTCGCTGGCCGCGGGCATTGCTCACATTGGACATTTTTGAGGGTATCGTTTTTGAGTTGAAAGGAGACCAAGGGGAAATCACCCATTCTGAGGGCTCCCTCATGTGAAGATTTTGAGACAAACACACATTTGTATTGCCCGAGCTTGCTTCCCACGCGAGGGTAAGTTCTGGGTTGGCCGAACTGAGGCACCCGAGTTGCTACCTTGGCAGGTGGTTGCAGGTTGACTTCAATACTCTGGTTGCTAAATGGACCGTATTTGTATAATTTCCCAAAAGGAAACGGACAAGGGATGGGTACTTTCACTTAAAAACACGTACACCCACATAGCGAGAAACAGGCCGATGATTGCACTCCAGCACCTCTAACAGCACCCCCCCGAACGCGCCAGAGCAAAGGGCAGTCAATCTTGAAAAAAATGCGCCCGCAGCGTCACCAGCACCCCAAACAGCACCCCCAAACAGCACCCCCAAGACGCTTTCCCTTTTGTAGTAGAAGTTGGAGCCCTATGGCTTTCAGCTACGTGGGGAAGAATCCGGAGCTGCTATTGGGCATGTCATATCATTCCAAGATAAGCATGGGAAGCCTTCAGGCAACCTGGTCCTTCCATAGGTTTGACGGGTGGCTCGTGGGCCATTGGGCGCTTGGTGCTTCCGCCCCAATTCTTGGCCCCAATTCTTGGCACCAAGTCTGGCACCAATTCTTGGCACCAATTCTTGGCACCACTTCTTTCGCCCTTTATGTGTGGTGGGAAAACCCACTGAACACGGTCAACCCCAAAAGCAATTCTTTCTCTACCCGTCACAGGGCAACTGTGCGCTGCGTGCCTTTGAGGTGGGGCTTCTAAATTGAGAGGGGCCAGGGTTGGGCTCACCTGCTTAAACATGCTGAAGCAAGTGGTTAAACCTTTCTGCCAGCTATATATATATATGTATATGATGCATATATATACAAATATATATATATATATATATATGTGTGTTCCCGTCGCCCGTCGTCCCTCGTCCCTAGTGGCCCAGCCCCACCGCCCCAATGGTAGGGAACCATGGACCCCCCCACCCATCCCAAGGGGCGGGGGCCTGTACGGTCACACTGTGCTAAATTCTACACACCCCAACCCCCATTCCCACAAAGGGGGGGGGGTGGCAACCATGGACCCGGGGGCGGGGGGCTCGTATAGTCACACTGTGAGAGGAGCTTTCGGCTTTCTCCGCGGCGTCGCTCCCCGAGGTTCGAGATGAGCCACGGGGTCTTCTGCATCCCCGTGCTGACTCTGCCCCCGCTGGCCTTGAACCATCAGGTGGGATGGGTAAACGAGCTCATGGTTCAGGCCCTCTTCTTGGAGAATCCCTATGTTAGGCGTTGGAGTTCTTAACATCTTGCATATATATATATATATGGTACAGCGTTGCCAGCCCCCCCCCCCCTCCCCCCCCAATGGTCATGGGTCAGGCAAGTACCCCCCCCCCCCCTGTGGTTGTGGTCCTGTGGTTGGGTTGTGGTGGTTTAGGGTTGGTTTAGAATTGGTTTAGGGTATATTTAGGGTGTATTTAGGGTTAGTTTAGGGTTGGTTCAGGGTTGATTTAGGTTGATTTATGTTGATTTAGGGTTGGTTTAGGGTTGGTTTAGGTTCAGAGGTGTACGGTCGGTTTAGGGTTTGGTTTAGGGTGTATTTAGGGTTGGTTTAGGGTTAGTTTAGGGTTGGTTTATGTTGATTTAGGGTTGGTTTAGGTTTAGAGGTCTACGGTTTAGGGTTTGGTTTAGGGTTTATTTAGGGTTGGTTTAGGGTTAGTTTAGGGTTGGTTTATGGTTGGTTGCGGGTTGGCTTGTCCTGGGGGTGGGGGTGCCGGGGTGTCGGGGTGCGAGTTCAGGGGTCGGGGTGGGGGTGGGACCGTAGGTGCCAGGATCCGGGGGCTCGGGGTCTCGGGCCGGGGGGGTCCTGGAAAACCATACCATATGGGGGGGGGGGGTAGCAACACGGAACACGGGACCATATATGTATCTGTTTTTTAAAGGGCACCCATTGGGGAAACCAACACCCGAACTCCATGTTTGCGGTCTGCCTTTTTTGACACATACCGATATTGGGGTAAGCAGGGGTCTTGGCTGCTCGACCTTGAGCCTTTCAAGCGGTTAACTTTTGCACACGACCAACTGGGTTGCAGTCGTTGGGTCAGCATTGCCGATTCTAATTTAGTGCTGCTTGCGCATGTTTGCCTTTTGCTGTCTCCCGGGGTGGGTTGGGCGGGGCGGGGTTCTATAATAGGAGCTTTATTTATGAAAGCGGCGGGTCCAACATTCAGTGTCGGACAACGCTACCCTTCCAAACCATTCGAACGCGAGAACATGTTCTGGATGGATTCTTCGACTGGTGATGAAACGACAGAAACAAGGCTTGCAACATTGACCTGCATGCCAATGGAGTAGGAAGGTTCTGTTGGTCGGTTTTCGAATTTTCCTCTTGCAGAGTGGTTGTTCATTTCAGCTACCTCCAATGAAATCCAAGTGTCAGAGTTTGCCTCATGCCCTGGTGATATGGATTGCTGAAGCGCCATGGAGGAGAGGTGTGCCCAAGGGTCTAGTGCATAGCGTGAAGTGCCCTCCTGCAGGTGTGCACTCAAAGATGTCTCTCTACTTGTCTGAACTGCAACATAGGACCCACCTGATCGTCATTGTTAGAGGGATCTGCTTTTGGTGACTGTTTCTTTTTGGGGTGGGGGGGTTCCCGTGGAGGGTCGGCTTGACAGGGTTACAACTTGATCGCCGTTCCGCAGCACTCTTGGCTGAAGCCGGGTGCGGATCCCTCGGATGGTTCATGCAAGCCGAATTGCACATTCCAAGTATGGCCTGGGGAGAGGAGGGATGCCTGAGCAACTAGATGTGTGCATATGCGTGTTTGAGGAACGTATGTTCCAAATACTTTTTGTTGCACCTGTCATGTGAGATCCCTTCGCATGGTGCACAAGCGCATCGCAAGCGGACTTTGGGGACGGGCTTAATACATTCACCACCCCTGTAAAGCACGGGCGAAAAGTGAAACAAAGACACAACAAACGTAAGTAGTATTCAATCGCAGATTGCAACTCCAACCTCGACATTTTCGTTCCCAAAAGTGTGGAACCCAACTGTTTGTTTTTGCCTTTGCTTCCTCAAAAACAACAACACATCCAAGGAGCCGGTTCCAACCACTTTGGGGAATCCCCAGGCTTCCTCAAGTAAACCAGTGCAGAGGGGATTGCTTTTTTGGCAAGCAACAGAAGCCGTCCACATCGGAGGTCCGACCGTTTCTGGGAAGTTTCAGATTCGCTGTCGCCGACTGAACTCCCGTTTGCTCACGCCCTTGGTTTCTGTTTGCTTCAACCCCCGATTTTTTTGGGGGTGGGCGGGTGGGTTGGGGGCGTCCCTTCGTCATGGGCCGAAGCCGAAGCTTGGAGCGGCAGCTGCGAGACTTCCGCGCCTCGTCCGAATGTTTGGGCGCTCAGCCACGCCCTTGCAGGTTGTCTCGCAGAGGCGAACCCCCTTCGCCTGCCAAAAGGAGAATATCCGAACATCCAAAGATCTCATTGCCCCAACCCCTATCCCCCAAAGCCTTAAACCCTGAACCCAAGTTAGGTGGGGATTCATACCATGGAGGTGGTTCCCCCAAAAGAATCTTCCCCAAAGTTCATAGCCATCTGATGCTGGGTCTGTTCTTTTGTGAGGATACCTCCTTTCGGTCTGTTTTAAAGGGAAGCCCAAGGAGTGCCCATTTTGGGTGGGTTTTCTTTTTCCAGGATCCTAGGTGGCCACGGCGTGCCCAGGCGAGCGCTTCCCCATCGATGAGCGCGCCGCCGACTTCCTGGAGAAGGTAAGCGACGAGGCAAATCGAGGGACACGTTTCGCCTCTGTCTCGAAACGGGGTCTGTAACTCGTCTGGGTAGACATGCTGACAATGTGTTGCACGAGCGGTGTTTGTTTGGCCGGTTATAGGTTTGATTGCATTGGATTGCTTTGAACCCCTTTAAAAGTTGGAAACCAAAAGGTGCTCGATCCAAAGGTTCGGTCAACATTACCGCGGACATGGGGGAACTCGCTAAATTTCTTTCTGAAAACCAGGGGGCTCACGAGTTTGCCCATTTTTAAAAAATGGGAAATTGGTCTTTTTGACTCAGGCGTCCAGCCTTAAAACGGCTGTGTTGCTTTTGGTTTTCCCTTCAAGCCACCTGAAAAAGGGTACCCTATCTGAAACTCTTTTCTTGGGCCCAAGTGAGTGTGTTTTCGTCTTGTGGCGGTCTTTGGAATATTTCAGAGAGAGTTCCCGGAACCTGGAACTATGAAGCTCTGAAAAGCATTGAGTCGCTTGGATTTCAGTGGATTAGACAAGGTGCATTGACACTTGAGTACCATTGACACTTGAGTAAGCAAAGGATTTGGCGAGGTGATGACAATACATCCGATCTCTAATACTTTGACATCAGCCCCCAACAGAGGTACCCGCCTTGTTCGCATCCCCTCGAGGATGCGAGGATGCGCCTGTTAGAAAAGCTGGCAAGCATTTGGTGAGTTTGTGTATCAGGGTGTGTCCAAATCATGCGCTAAGCCCCCCCCCCCCCGAAAGACAAATAAGAAGAAGAAAGAAAGAGCACAAAAACAAAGACAAAGCACACATAAACAAAAGAGAGTGTACTTTGTTGCACATGTGTTTGGGTAGTGTGATGCAGAAAACCAAACAACAGCTCGAGACACCCAACCAAACAGTTTAAAACATACGCAAGCAAGCACAATATTAGATGCCCCAATGCACAACGACCAGGTGAACAGTTAGTTTTGAGATGCCCCAATGCACAACGACCAGGTGTTGAATTGTTTCAGTGTTTTCTCGAGTTTTTTTTGCAGTTTGTGGCAGGCAACTCAACACGGGATCTCGAGAAGCAACCGAAGAGGCAGAATTCAACATTGCACACCCCATGCTCCCACCAACAGGCCCCCCTTGGGTCTGCAATCTTGATTTTGTTTGGTTTCCTTTAGTTTTGATTTTGCAATTTGGGGGACTGAGAAAACAACAAGCTAGCCTCGAGAAAACCAAAAAAGTAAGACTCCCCCATGCTCCCCCTTCCAAGCCCCTCTTGGGCCATGCTCCCCCGGTGGGTCTGCATGTGTATTATTGTTTGGCTTTCTCCAGTCTTTTGTTGAATTTTCCGGAAAAGGGTTTCCTTTCCCAATGAGTTTGCTGAGAGTTATTTATAATCTGAATAAAGTTGAAGAAGGACACATATCACGTAGCAGTTCTATCTTCAGCTCAAGTTTATATAGTAATCTGTTTTCTGAACAACTTTCAATTGAAGCTTAAGTTACACAGATCTTCAAACGGAATTGAACAAGTAACGCCATGCTGGGCTCTTCTCAAACTGTTGAAAGATACAATTTCAGTTCTATTGGGGTGCAAGGTTTACGTTTTGATCTGGAAAGTATAAGCATCCAAGATGGTTTCACTCAGGCTTCCTAGCTTGAATTAGACATTGACCGGAAACTCCTTTCCAACTATATTTTACATCAATGTAATTCAATGTGGTTAGAGTCTAACTATGATTTTATAGGACGGAGGTCAGTTAGCATTTCTATCTTAAGTTAGAATTCCGGTAGCAACTTCTTTCCAAACGAGATTTTGAGTAGACCCAATCAGAGTTTCCTCGTGTTTCTGTAGGATTTTCACTGTTCAAGCAGCAATATATTTGCTTTATTAGGTTCCGCTAAAATATAATTAAACTTCATTTTCACACATATGTGGGAAGGAACTCATATTTAAACTTTAGCTTAAGAAAGACACTGCGTTGTTCCTTGTTATATTTTAATCATTTTTCAATCACATGTTTAACAAATTCCTTCGGACGCGAGTTTCTGTTTCCAAGAAATGCAAACAAACACGAGTTGTCCAGAACAAACATGAGCACGGACATCTCAACCGCCTCATCCAGGAAATCGGCTGTCGTGAAGGGCCACAAGCTCACACAAAATACCAATGCCATGAAGAAGTGGGCGAGTCAGCAAAGGAGTTTGATTTCCCATTCTTTTCAACATTCGTTCTTTCCAAAAACCGGCCGTTTTACCTGGGTGTCCGGAGGTTTTCTAGAAAGAAGGATCCCTGGAAAGAATGGGGAAGGTACCCCTAGAACATTGAGACGTGGAGAGCAAGCATGCCAGCAGAAGCTGACTGCAACTCAGCGCAAAGATGTAGCCTGTGTACCAACAAGGGCACTCCACAGCGTTTTTGTGTTGAACATAGGAAGCTTCCGGTTGCTTGCATTTCTGAACGTGATGTGGAAGGGGTCGCTTTTCAATTGACGCGTATATATATATATATAAGGGCCTCGTTGAGAGCATGGGAACGGCAAGCTAGGGGCAGAGCCCACGACGAGCAGTATCGAATCCACCTGCACTTGTCAGCAAGGGTCAGCGTGCCCAACTCGGATCCATTTATGGTTGGAAGGGGATTGGTCCAATATTGTTTTTACAGAGATGGTTGGTTTCCCTTGTAAGTTTTCCTTTAAGCGACCCCTGAAGGGTATATTTTGAAAGACACACACACACACACACCCATTTGGTTGTAATCAACCCTTTGCCCTCCTCAACTCTCCTCAAAGCCAACAAAATCTTGATGACCCCTTTGATTGGTTTGAAGGATCCATTTTTTTTTCGGAAACCCACAAGTAACCTTAAACCAACCCATTACGAGCCCCACACTGTTAGATTGATTCTTGGCCCCCCCCCCCCCCCCCCCAGCCCCCCCCAGCCCCCCCCCAGCCCCCCCCAGCCACCCCCAGCCCCCAAGCCACCCCAAGCCCCCGCCCAGCCCCCCCCCCCTCCCCCTCCCTAAAAAAATGAACCGACCACCTGGATGGGTCTCACTTTGAGCAACACCAAAAACAGCGGGGGGCTTGAGCTCTGGAGGTGCTCTCGACTGTGCTCTCTGAGTTCCGCCCGAAGCGCCGCTCGGCGGGTGGGACGCGGGCGGGGGGTTTGCGGGGCTACTGGTTTCGTTGTCATTTCTCCGGATCTTTTGTGGTTGTTTCTTTTGGTTAAAGGGCCCCTTGTATGTGAGAGGGGAGGAACTTCCGGGTTGGTGTCCCATGTACAACATCCAAACGGGATTGCATGGCA